AATAATGGTTGCCACTCCACCACTGTCAAGTGTATGATGGAACGGTTGACAGTGCTGTGAGACATCTGATTAATTTTCAAGCAGTATGAACGGACCTTGTTTCATAAAGATGAATTTACGAACAAATTTTTTGACAGTTGGTGGAATGATTGCTCACCACATTGGATTCTCCAACACACGGTATAACTCAACAACCAATAATCAAAACGGCTTACTACAGCTTAGATTACAATAAGCTATGTAGCTCTCCTGCCAATGTAAAAAACGGCCGCCATACTACTACTTACTATTCGTCATTGTTCGTCAGAGCAGCGGCGGCGACCTACAAAACGTCAAAAAAGACCTATAAGATGTCAACTTGCAGACTAGCTAGTTCTTAGGGCGCAAACAGTCATTCGACGTTTGCTCACTAGGATCGTTGTGAACGTCCATCTATGAAGGAATCACTCAACTAAGCTACACGCATTATTGGTTGCATAGTTTTGTGAGGCTGAGTGATCCGTGTCTGTAGTTTTTGTGTCTGAGAAGAAAGTTGGTTGAATAACAACATCGCATGTGGATATGATTATGTGTATTGGTCTGCATGTGTATAAAATCAGTGATATTTGCTGTGTGAGAAAATCATTACTGAATATGCCGAATATGACGGGTTATTTATATGTTGTGCTTTCTGAAGAGAAGTTATGTTCAAAGTTATAAATTACGAAAAACTGAGGAGAATTACGGGAAATCATCACCGCGCCCGCGTTGTGTGTAATTACTGTTATCATGTATATGGCTTGTAATTCGACAGTGTACAGTGAACATAATTATTTCTCATCTCTCTCATTTTTGAAATTCAGCAAATTTGAATCCCAATTAAGTGTATCAATACGTACAGCTTACAGCTTAGACCTCCAGTAATGCCATCTCAGAAGCAGATTTTACATCACATCAGAGCCAAAGATTGATAACAAGCCTCATGAAGTTTAGGCAACACGTACAGCTGAGTGTTCAGTTAACATCTTGTTGAATAACCTACATAATGTCAAAAAAAGAACAGCATAATGTCAAAAAAAAATCGGCATAATGTCACTTTTCAACCTACGTGATACCCGTGCGGTGGATCTTTGCTCTTCGTTAAAAGTCTCGTCGGTCTGTTAGTCTGTCAGGTCTGGCTACCCAGATACCAAACATGTTTAAGGGAAAAAAGGAGAGAAGGAAAGAAAGGAAGGAAGAAATAGAGTAAAGAAGAGAAGTAAATTATTTGAAATAGCTTAAGCATTATTGCTTTGACTACTCGAATAATTTTGTAACTGAAATAATTTTGATCGGTTTTGTATACTGAAATAATTTTGGCTGGTCTGAAACTCACTATTTAATTATATTCTTTTAGTTTTAGTGTTCTGTATTCAACAGTTCTAGCTGAAGTTGCCACGTCTGCAGATATTTGCAATGGTCAAAATTTTAATATTCCAATACGATCTGGTGTAGTTTATATAAACCAATGATAAAAAGAAGCGATGGAGTATTGATGCTTCATAAATAAATTTGTAATGGTGGAAGGCTGTCAGTACTTGCAAGAAGCGATAGAATATTTTATTTTGCTGTGTTCTTCTCTGCTGCGATTTTCTCAATTCATTGCATTTTCAACGTAAGCAATGTTCAAAACCCCAGGCAAACTCAACATCCATTCAATCATAAGTATTTCCGTGTCTTTGTTGTGGAAAAATAAACAGAAGCAAACCAACAACGGAGTGACATTCAACGCAAACTAACCTGACACACCGGATAACGACTTCCCAACTAGGATGCTTCTACATACAGGGCGAGTTTTTAATGTGTAATAAAAAAACACTGAACTTTGACAGTCAATAACTTTTGCAGATAAAGTGGCGAACAACTTGATAAAATTAGCTTTATATAGCTAAATTTAAACCAATATTCTGTCTCCTCTGTTTGGACAGACTCCTCTTTACTACTGGTTCACACAAGCTCCACTAGACTTACGATTGCAGTGATAGATGGCGCTTTGCTCTGTCTTATTTCGACAAGCATACATTTTTCAAGAATGCCTGTTCAAAACAAGATGTTTGATGTAGCATACTATAATACGGTTTGCACTGCTCTTCTGGAGCTACGGGATATGTTGAACGGAAAAATACTCCTCTTTGACGGCTTGTAAGTCAGTGACTTTAGCAGATAAAGTAGCGAACTATTTGCCAAATGAGCTTCATCAATATGCTGTCTCCCCTTGTTGGACAGACACCTCTTTATTACTTTTTCACACAAGCTGCACTAGATTTACGATTGCAAAGAATTTCTGGCACTTCTGGCCTGGTACGTGGCAATAGCGGCAAGGATTGTTGAACACGGGGCACTAAAACCTCTCTCACTATTTTATAGGAGAATTTTTATGCAATTTTCTTCGCCGAAATGGCTGCCGTTTTTGACACTGACAGTAGAGTTGATTGCTACCGTATCGTTAGTCGTTCCTACTATTTATTGTAGGACGTCTTTATAGCCTTCTTGATGTTCATAGTTTTTCCTGGCCTTCAGTGTCAGCGCCCTTTTTTGAGGTTATGTTAGAAATATTTATTTGCAACAAATTGTTCATGCTTTTGACTTATATCATCTGTTAAATGAACCTGATATTTTCTACAAGACAGTAGAGATCTAGAAATACCTCAGCCTTCCTGAAGGACAGGAAAAGCTATATGAATCAAGGAGGCCATAAAGGCATCCTACAATTGCAGGAACGACCGATGATACGGTCATACTATGCTATATAAATCTTGTTCTTTTGGAAGTATCGATCCGAATATGTAATAAAACATGGGACATGACTCGTGGTTTAAAGAGAAACAGAAATTTGGTAGGTGAACTCAACGCCACGAGTTTGGCTCGCCAGACCAATTCAGAATTATGATGAAAATGCAGAAAAACCATACCATACCATGTTCGGTTAGCATATTTACGTTACTCTCAACCCTACGTTAGATTTAGTTACATAATGCATACCTTGTAAATCACACAATTAAATTTACGAGCCTGCATAACTACGTTTTTGAATTTTCTTAACTTAGTTGGTTTGGAAGGTCAAATTGAGTAGAAGGGCATCTTGCATAGTGTTTTTCTCTTTTTCAAAACTTATTATACAACGTATCAGTTGGTAGAATAGAATCTACAAAAACAATACCGAAAAAAGTAAATAGGATGCATCAACATCAACTGATGTCTTTCATTTACATCATGAATCGCTCCTTTTTATTCTAAATAATAATAAATTCAGTATATAGCCTCCAGGACGTTGCGATTAATAAAATACAAGGGAATAAAAAAATTAAATCGACCCTGGAATGTTGAGTTTCCAAAACATATGTGGTTCAATTTCAAACATTACTTTGTGAAATTATGGTAAAACGTTGTTAACCATGGACATTTTGAGTTTTCTGTCATAAAAATAAGACATTTGGATAAATAAGAATGTTTGACTAGAAAACTAAAAGAGAATCATTTTTTTAAACTACTAAACTAAATTGGTTCAATAGTGGCTGAGATATGTGATATTAAATATTTGGCGTGATTGGCTGAAACCGTAAACAATTAATTTAGAACGTTTTTATTTTCAGATAAAGCTCTCGGTTCATACTACCTATCATTTCACTTCATCCATGCGATTACATCCGGAATTTTCATCCGGAATGTTAATCAAGTAAATGACCTACTTAAGTAGCCTTTTATCTCATTTGCTTTGATTGTTTTTTTATATATATTTTCCATTTGTTGCTTGATTTTTATAATTTATCATGGCTAGTACGAATCTTGAAAATAATTTAAGGATAGGACATATTAATGTACGATCACTGATACCAAGTTTGAAGTTGGACATATTAAGAGTAACTGAATCATGGTTAACTGAACAAGTTAGTGAACAGGAAATTAAAATAAACAATTTTAAGTTTTATCGCGTTGACCGTGGGTCTCGGGGAGGTGGAATAGGGGTTTATGTTCGATCTGATATTACAGTAGTTGAGATAGATGTAACTGAGGACCAGAGGGGAATTTTTGAGCAGCAATGGCTTATTCTCAAAATTGGCAAAATAAAATTGGGGTTGGGCATCATTTACCGTCCTCCTGGTTTTAATGTGATGACTGCTTTACGCCAACTGGAAGAATCAATAGCTAATTTAATTCCAGTGACAGATGAATTGATTATAATGAGGGATATTAATATTAATCTATCAAGACATACTAACATAACCAATCAGTTTAATAATTTGCTTGATACTTTCAACTTCAAGCAAGTTATAATTAACCCAACTAGGTACTCCCGAGACACAGCCAGTTTGATTGATGTCATCATCATGTCCGATGATCATCTCTTAAGTGGCAGTGTCCATCATCAGGACTTGCATCAGCATTCCGATCATCAGCTCATACACTGTTCAATAAATATTAAGATCTCTGCCGTTAGGCCTAGAGTTATTAAATATCGCAACTTTAAACACTTTGACATTTATAGCTTCAAACAAGATCTTATAAACTTCCCTTGGTGGCAGGTTGTAGACTGTGATAATGTTAACCAGAAGACTGCAATTCTCTCAGATATGATATTGACTCTTTTTGATTCTCATGCGCCAATATGTGAGAAAAAAGTTACCAGGACCCGTATTCTCGTTCTTTGGCTTGAAAGCGATACGTTTTCAATACGCCTAGCGCGTCATGTCGTACGGCAAAGCGCTAAGCGTACGGTTTAGGTATTCACGTTGCTGCGCGAACGCTTCGGGTTCAAAACGCTTGGCACATAGTGGCAACGGTGCTTGTTCCAGTGTGACCAACATATTTGTCTCCAATGTCACCAATGTTATATAATCAAAGAACTAAAAAAGTTTCTATTTCTGGCATTATGATGGTTGTCACTTGTCAGTAGCGTTTTATCAGTGTCACTCGAGTTTCGAAATGTTTGGATTAGGGGTTGACACTTTGTGCATTGAAAGTTTCTTCATATGAGAAATTAAATTATTTCATGCATTCATGATGCATGGCGATGAAACTTGGGGAGGCAGTGCATCTTAATACCTCCGTCCATGGATGTAAGGGTAGCTTACCATCTGTACATTGAGTGAATGGTAATGTTTCCTATTGATATATATGTTCATTTTCGATCGCGGACACTATAGCTATGTGAGTGCAATCAATACAGCCTATAATTCAAGGTACCTGGTACTTTGAGAAAAATCTAGAAAAAAGAAAATCAATATAGGTACAGCCTGACCGTCAAATTTTGAATAGCTTTGAAGAAACATAGTCTAGGACAACATCATGATAGTTCCTCATGTATATTTATAATTCTAAATAGAAATACACCTTTCTCTGGTGCTGGTTAACTCTTGAATTGTGTTTGGAAAATGGACATATCTATTCAATATTTCTGAAAAGTTGAATGCTCCCAACACCTCATGTGTTCTTGAAATCCATGACTGGCTGAGAGTTACTGTATGATTTCTGCCTAAATCCAGCTGGTAGCTTCCACTTGCAAAGAAACGCAAGCCAGGCAGTATCTAAAACATTAATGTCACGGAATCCTATAAGTACATGCATTCCACATTAACTGAACGATGATGGTGTTTTAACAGTACACTAGGTTGTTATTAAATATCACTATTTTATCACTCGTATATATAAGATGTTTTGTCAATCGTGGAGGTAAAGTACTTCATTATTATTGTTACTTACCTTGCGATTACTTATCGCGTGCGATCTAGGATGTACTGGGAAAAATGGTTGTAACATTTCTTCCAAATTCTGCATGTCCTGTTTTCGCAGACGATATAATTTCACAAAATTAAAGTCAGAGAATTCGATCCGATCATCAGCATAGAATCTTTGCCTCTCCACATGTTCAATAATCCGGATTCAATTAACCCCAGCAAACTGGTATGCCATTACTAGGTATACTTTGGATATAATTATCTAAATATAAGGACCACAGTAGCCTCAATTACACCAAAAATCACGATGTAAATAAGAATTCTGACAGCAGTGACCGTACTCACCACGAAAGCGATAAGCAAAACGCCGACCACTTGGTAGTCGTTTTGTAAGCGACGAGCGCTTTTCAAAAACGCTGAGCGTTCGGGCAACGGGAATACCAGATATTGGCAAGTGCGTCGAAAGCAAGTGCAAATGACGTCATATTCGCTGAGCGACTGGAAAACGCTTAGCGTTTTGGAGAACGAAAATACCGGTCCAGGCCACCTTCCCCGTGGTTTACTGATGCGTTGCGTGCGATGAAGAATCACCGTAACTATCTTTTCTCTAAATACAAACGTACTAAAAATTTACGGGATTGGGCATCCTATAGAGAAATGAGGAATTTTTTTAGGTCAGCTGTTCGACAAGAAAAGAGAGCTTATATTGATTTTGTCACTCGTACTAAAAAATCCAAAGACATGTGGAAGATACTAGACCAACTTAATATCTATAACAGATCTAAAAAAAATATAGAAATTCCTAACCATCTTAAAAACCCAAATTTAATTAATCAATATTTTATCGACTCGGTGCGACAAATACCTAGCACTGTCGATACGAATACTATTTCTAAATATCTTAATTCCAAATGTACAACCGCAGAATTTGAATTGAAACTCGTTAGTGAAGATGACGTTTTCTGGGCAATATCGGAGATTGGGTCAAACGCCTCTGGTGCAGACGGAATTAGCCTTGACATGGTGAGGTTGTGTTGTCCAACGGTCTTACCCGTGCTGGTTAACCTATTTAATTCCTGCATACAAAAGGGCATCTTTCCTGCCCAATGGAGAACGGCTGTGGTCCTGCCGCTGCCTAAAATTAGCAGTCCTAAGGATGTATCTGATTTGCGACCAATTAGTATACTACCAGTGCTGTCTAAAGTATTTGAAAAGCTTATTTATAGGCAAATCATTACTTATTTCACAGATAATAATTTATTACCCAAGTTGCAGTCTGGATTCCGTAAAGGGTTTGGTACTACCACGGCTCTGTTGAAGGTTGTAGATGACATTCTTTTGCCTGCGGACAGGGGTGAAACTTCGGCATTGGTGTTGTTGGACTTTAGCAAGGCCTTCGATACCCTGAACCATGTATTGCTGTGTGCAAAACTTTTGTACTGTGGATTTAAACTTAAGACTATTCAACTTATTCGTAGTTATTTGGATGACAGATCGCAGTCGGTCTCAATTGATGGACTTAAATCAAAACCCTTGAACGTGGATAGAGGAGTTCCTCAGGGATCACTTTTGGGTCCTTTATTTTTTATCATTTTTACTGCTGATATGTCGAAGTGCTTTGGTGACATAAACAATCATAGATACGCTGACGATACACAGATGCAGCTTTCTTTTGTTAAGTCGGACGCAATTGAAGCGGCTAGGAGGCTAAACGAGTGTTTGGATTCAGTTTTTAAATACTCTTTTAATCATGGCTTGAAATTGAATCCTAATAAATCAGCCATAATCTACTTTGGGCCAGCTAAACATTGGGCGTCTGTAAACTTGGTGATAGCAATGGATGGTGTGGCAATACCGGTTGTTGATGAATATAAAAATTTGGGCGTTATCTTTGATAACAAGCTTAGATTCCGAAGTCATGTGTCTAGGCTTCTACAAAAAGCATATTTTGACCTTCGCAATATTTACAAAAGTAAAGATATTCTTAGTTTTAAGTTAAAAAAGGTTCTCTGCGAAGCACTGGTCTTGTGTCACCTTAACTATTGCAACTTTGTGTATGGTCCTTGCTTAGATGTATTTACTAAGGATAAACTCCAAAAAGTGCAGAATTCTTGCATACGACTTATTTACCAGCTTAGACGTCACGATCATGTCAGTCATAAACTTTCCGAACTGAAATGGTTGCATGTTTCCAATCGAGAAAAGCTGCATTTTGCTTGCTTTCTTCATAAATTGATTAAAACTAAAAGCCCTCCATATCTGATTGAAAAATTAACTCGTAGAAATCTGATTCACTCTCGTGCAACACGCTTTAATGTACTTTATGAAATACCTAAAATAACTAAAACCATGACTCAAAGCTCATTTTCCTATACATCAGTCAAACTTCTAAACCAATACAATATAGGTCAATTTGAAGATATGTCTCCCAACATGTTCAAACGAAAACTGAAACAACTGCTTCTGTGAAGTATAAGTTGTTTATTATTGCTTATTTTCTTTGTATACGTACATCTGTAGTTATTATTGTTCATTGTTGTTATGTAATATTCTAAAATTAATGTAATGTAAAACTTGTTTCTTGTCATATTACTTTTCTTTTTGGCTTGTTGTTACTTTTTACATGCTCGGTTAAGTTAACAGCATAGCTGGCCTTCGCCGAGTTTAAAATAAAGGAGTTTTTATTTATTTATTACAGAACACCCTGTAAAATCTAGAACCTAGAAGAATAATGTCTGTTGGTTGGTTCCCAGGCAGGTGAAATCAGATTTTCTAGCGTTTACCCAGCAGCTGTCCATCGTAGAGATACAATAACATCGTTCATATTAGTAGACGGCACTGCCTTCACACCGTAATGAAGTTTGAGAGCTTTGGTATTAACCTACCAGAGCGAGGAGCGATGATAATTTGTCGGAGTTAGAGTTGCTCCGAAAATCCATACGTGATATGGGTTATCCAGACAGCGCAGTGGTAAATGGCTAAACATGAAATCTGGAAAACAATAGCTGACCGTTTCGGCATATCGACTGCGTCCATTTTCACGCGATGACGGCAGCAAAATGGCTGCTTCGAAGTTATGTTCGAGCTTGTGAGCGCGTTGATAGAATTAGGTTGTGTTCGGTAGTCCCGATCCGTACTGAAGGTTAAATGTGGCGTCTATCTTATCATGGAGACCGGTATTTTGTAATTCTACATAGGGTCTCACAGTTATTTTATTCAAGAAATTTGAATTTTAATGAAAGCAAGTCAGAAACTGGATGGTTGTTTGGTAATTGATTAACTTTTTCAATTATCGTAAAACAAAGAAGTATGCAAGATAACTCTGAAATACAGCAAACCTCGCACTCCTCTTTGGACGGGTCAAGTTAGTAAAGTGGACAATATCAGTAAAACTGACGGCCAACATTTAAAAAACAGTTGTCAAAAAACTAATATCATGGATGTTTCCCTTGTTTAATAATCACACATTATTTATGCTGCTCTGTCTATCGTCTGCCTGTTCGGTAGTCCTTGTCTTCTCAACCCAGAAAATAACCACACACGCTTAGATCAAATTTTGATACTAGGCGTTCGTTATTATACTTCCTGGCATATTCATTTTTCAGATTCGAATAAGACGTCAAGATTGCACTACTTGCCAACGTGAAAAGGGGAAACAGAGATGTTTGATATACACTATTTTTGGTGCGTTATTCTACGAAGGATTTGTTTATTGCAATACATGGCATCAAGTAGGTTGACTCTGCATTTCCGACGCGACGCTGTCAAGAATTCATAAGATTACTTTTAGTCAATTAAACAGGTGCATATAATTAGTTCATAGACATTCTTTCCCTGCAATACCGGTAGTTTCCGTCCATCTGACAACGTTGCCCCTTCCAATATTGTCACATACGGCAGCGCCCACCCAAGCACCGCCGCAGACAGTTACGCCCGGCGCTGAACCCAGATAGCAGAAGGAGACGCGCAAACATTTCTCTGTCATTCCAAGTTTTAAAGATTTAAATATACGTGAGTGACATATGGCTAATAGGTAGATAGATAGATATATAATTTATTGTCCCATGATGTAAGACTTGTCAATATGAAACTGAATGTCATATGTGCGTTTGAGCAAATATGCCGGAAAAATGCTTATAAATATAAAATAAATAAAGACATTACAATTACAAAAAATATATGACATTTCAACAAGTTAAATCACAATTGAGGTACAGTGCAATGATCTAAGTTTGTAACGGTAAAAATATATACATACACAGCGATTTTCATCACAAAAATTGTTCGCATAGCGGTTAAGCAAAATTGGAAGATACATATATAAAAAAGAGTAGGAGAATCTGTTAGAAATACATATATAAACACAATAAGCATCGAGCAATGAGGACAAATCATCCATACTTGCATACTCGAATGAAAACTGAAATTAAAATACATGTAGTGCACGATGATATACATACAATTCACTGATAACAAGATGATTGGCAGCTTAAAAGAGTTAAAAAACAGATACTTTCATATATTAAAAAACTCATGTATTGAGTAAAAGCATTTTTCAGTCAGGTGCGTAGAATAAACGGGGTTGGAAGTGTGTTAATACCATCTGTTCTCTCCTACCCTCTACAACCCCCGACTCCCTGATTTTTTACCGCTAACAATGTTTTAAAAAATTTCGAGTGACCTTTGTATTTTCGTTTTTGGCCTATTTTTTCATCGTCACTAGACATATACTAAATGACATATAAATCCGAACACCCAGTTTAAATGGTTATATTTTAATAAAAGTTGATGAATGTACTTATCTTACTGTAAATAACAAGTGAAAAAATTTTCAGCCTTATCAGTTGGACATTCCGGTTTTTATACTGCTTTTTTTAATTCACTAACGCTCTAAAAATGAATATTTCAGCCGCAGTAAAAAATCAACGTTGGCGGATTTTGGTTCTTGACATCCTTTACGATCGGGTGCGATGCCTAGAGTACGGAGACCTGTACGATTTCGTCAACTTAGTGAGTTTGATAGGGGCCGTATAGTTGGACTTCAGGAAGCTGGACTTTCTTTTCGGGCAATTGCAGTTAGAGTGCAAAGAAGTGTAGACACTGTGGTTAGGTGTTGTCAGGCATGGCTTCGAGAAGCCCGTACGCAAAGAGCAAGGGGCACTAGACGCCGCCGTAGAACAACAGACCCTGAAGATCGCCGCCTAAGATTATTGGCCTTAAGGACCGTTTCTCCACTACCAGGTCCATTGCAAATGAATGGTTTGCAGAACACGGAAGACCTATTGGCATGCGAAGTGTTTACCGACGAATGAGAAGTTTTGGCTTGTTTTCATACCGGCCACACTGGGTCCTCCCTTTAACTCGAGAACACCGACGTAATCGCCTTGAGTGGTGCAAACAGCGGTCACTCTGGGATCAGGAAAGGAAGAGTATTGTCTTTAGTGACAAGTCTCGATTTTGTTTAGGCATGCACGATGGTCGTGCCAGGGTTAGAAGGCGACGTGGTGAAAGGAGGAATCCACAGTTTTTTGTTGAAAGACATGTTCATCA